TGACTTCAACAAGAACTCACGTATATTTTCTTTCTCTATATTCCATTATGTTTTCTTGATGTTTTGCTTGTATTCGTGATCTAATCATCTAATTAAAGAGAATTTTGCCTAACAGATTTATGAAACAAACCTGCAATCAATCATTGATAATGAGTCTGATGAATCAGATGAACTATCTGATTCTTTAGAATTGGTCTCTAGACTTACTTTTCATAACTGAGAAGATTTCAAGAATTGGATGCACAAGTTTGGGTTAAAGGAGGGTTTTAATTATAAGATTATAACCAGCGAAACTGTTCAAGGTGTGATGCGAAAGGCTACTTATGAATGCTTAAAATCTGGGTCTCATATTTCACAAGCTATATTAGATCCAATAAAGCAACACGATACTCATTCCCAACGAATACTATGTCCTTGGAAACTTAATGTAGCCTGTTCAAAGAGAAGTGGTATTGTAAGAATCAATTCGTTTAATAATGTATATAACCACACACTTATCTCAATGATCCAAGAAATAGCCCTATGTTTTCAGAAGTTGACAAAAGAAATGCTGGCTGATATGAAGAAGTATGTTGTTCAAAGATGAATGGATTCAGCATTTATATATCCTTTATTAAGGCATGACTATCTGAATCAACCTATTTACAAGAAAGATTTGTATAATGCGATTTATCAATTTCGGCAAAAGAATAATCCAGGAAATGGTGATGTCTCACAGATACTTCAATTATTAATGGATTGGAAGAATTTGGAACCACTTTGGATTATAAAGACTCAGTTGAATTAATGCTTAAACATATATCACAAAATCAACAACATTAATACTTTTTTTGATAATATACCTGAAGGTTTATAATTAAACCCTTTAAATTTTGAAGGAGCATAAATTTGATCATTATGGATATGAATCCAATAAGATTGAACTGCACTATCTGCATTATTAATCAAATCTATCTTCTCTTTTGAAACTTTAAACAATATAAATAAAGTTTTATTATTATTATTAACATAATGATAATTTTCTATATAAAATAAATTTAATAAATTAGAATTAATTTTTATCAAATAAATTTTAAAACTATATTAAGTTTTAGTACATACCTTCAATTATTTTAAAACTTGATATATCATAATTCATAAAAATAGAATCGATTTTATTTAAATTTTTATCATGTGATTCTATTTTTTCTACTACAACTGGGGATATTTTTTAATATTCAAATTTTTATTAAAATTTGGATTATTCCGCTTGAATATACTAAACTTCTTGTATAACTTATACTATATGTATCAAATTTTTTTTGATTTGCCTCTCTTTCATTTAAATTTTTTTTTCTAAATATCTAAATTAGAGCTCTGAATCAGATCAGGTCAACCTGTGACCCGACTCGACCCGACCTGAAAAATCCAGGTCAGGTTGATAAATTTTCAGGTCAACATCAGGTCGGATCAAGCTTATGACTCGACCTGATAAAATTTGGGTCAACTAATCAAATTAAACAAAATAAAATATTTAAAAATAAAAATTTTTTTTTTGTCTATTTTTTTTTTAAAACATCTTTAATTTTATTTAATATACTTTCTTTTTATATTCTAAT